TCCTCCTCCCGTCTTCCTCCCCCTGCAGCCGCTGCGCTCGCTTCCTCCTTCTTCCCCTCTCTCTCCTCCCCCTCGCCGCCGCTGCCTCCTCCGGTACTGCTCAGCCTCGCGCCCCCCAGTCCTCCACGCTCGCTGGCCACGACTCCCCCGCCTCTCCTCCTTCCCTATTCGGGCCCCCTTGCACCCGCCACCGCCACCCCCAGTCACACCTCCCACCTTGCTTCTGGTCGGCTCTCCCTCCCCTCTTCTTCCTCCGGGCTCAATCTCCGCCTCCTTCCCCTCCTTCCTTGGCCTGCCTCGTATTCTGCACTCTCGGAGCCTGCAAGCGGGCACATCCACCTTCCTTCCCCAAAGGGTGCTGAAGGCGCCTCCTTCTGTGAAGCCTTTTGACTGACTCCACATCCTGCGACTAGCTTCTCCCGGGCACGTCTTTGGGCTCTGGGTACTTAGTAGGCACTTAGCCGCCCCGCCTTAAGTTCTCCAGGGGCTGAAGTCTAGTGCTGAGTAGCTGGGCCAGCTTTCCTTTGGAGTGTTGGCTGGGTCTGGCCTTCTCCTGGAGTCTCCTCATTTTTGCACTGGAATAGTAGACTCCTTTTTGCCCTAGGATAGTGCAGGACCAGGATGGCAGCTTCATTTCTAGCTACAGCCCCACTCCTCACACTTCAGTGCCTAGGACACGGGCTTCTAGTCCTTCTTTTCCCTGCTCTTCCCCCTCCTGCTTGGATCTGGTATTTCTCTCACTTTACCCTGGGCTGCACAGCCCACCTCTGCCACTCCCTCTCCAGGCGCACCTTCTCCCCTTTCTCCTATAATGCCTTCAATCGGAGGAGACTTGCTGGACCAAAAGAAAATTCCCCTGACCTCTTTCACTCCTTCCTCCTTGGAAGGTAGCAGCTGCTTTCCAAACTGTAATACACTTGGCACTTGGTGAAGATTCCTGACACTGAAAGGCCAGCCAGGACAATGTGGGTGTGGGAGGGGCCCAAGAATTGGTAAGGACATCTGATTGAAACAGGGCCCTCTCTCACCTGCTGCTTTCTATCCATAGTCTATGGCTTGCTTTTCTTGGGATAAAGAAACAGGAAAAGGACCTTCTTAAACTCTACCTCATGTTGATTTAATATTCATTGAAGACTTACAATGAGTTAGGAGAATATCCAGAAAAACACAGCAAGGTACCTTGCCTAGGAAACACTTTGGGGTGTTGGCTGCAAGCCAGACTCAAAATATAAAATAAAATCTGCTGTATTATCAGGCCATTGTCCTCCCATCCTTTCTAAGTTTGGTTATAGCCTCAGAGCCAGGTAGCCTTGTCTAATTCCAAGCTTTTGTACAGAATCTACCATAGGCTGGATGCTCTTCAAATGCTAATTAATAAAGAACAACCACGCCCTGGCTCAGTGTACAGAGTAGGCCTGGCCACAGGTTGGGGGTTTGATTCCTGGTCAGGGGCATATGTGCGGGAGGCAACTAATCTCTCTCTCTCTCTCTCTCTCTCTCTCTCAACTCCCCTTCCTCCTCCCCCTCCCTTCCACTCTATTTAAAAGCAATGGGAAAATATCCTCAGGTGAGGATTTAAATTTTTAAAAAAATATATAAATAAAGAACAACCACAAACAAGCAATGATTCAGAGGCTCTCTTATTCATTCCCCTTAGGTGTTGTGTTAAATCCTCTGCAACATAACCAGGAACATTAAGGATAAAGCTGTGGAGCTCCTGGCAATAACATGCAGCATCCGGAGACCTCAAGTTCCTATGTTGAAGTAAACAAGAATGAGGTGTGAAAAATAATATAAATGGAGCCACTTTATTTTTTAGTTTTTATTTACTGATTTGAGAGAGAATCATCAATTTGTTGTTCTACTTATTTATGCATTCATTGGTTGATTCTTGTATGTGCCTTGATTGGAGTTCAAACCTAAAACCTTGGTGTATGAGACAATGCTCTATAACCAACTGAACTACCTGGTGAGGGCTAAATGGAGCCACTTTAAAATGGAGTTGGAGCTTCCATTCCAGAGGAGCTGCCTTTCATATCTTACTCTTCAAACTTTTGGAATGATAAAACTGGGCAAAATAACCTTTGACTGGACCTAAAGCAGCACTATATTCCAAACAACTGTTTGCAAAGATAACAAGAAAGCAGACATTTATGACCATGGGATTGAAAATTAAAGACCTTCTTTAGAATTAGTATTGTTGTAATGTACCCCGCGAATCCCAAAAGGATGCCTCAAGAAGTCGAAGAGTCACATTTATTGCAATCCGGGACTATGAGGGGCCATTTTGCTTTCCTAAATCTCATAGTGATAAGATGGCCGAAAAACCAGATTTATATAGGCAAAAATCACAAAGGTATTGATTACATCTCAGGGTTTGGAATGAGGAACCTGGTTCGCAAAAAAGCAGTTTACAGAAGCAGAATTAAGCATGTTAATTACAGTTTTGGGTCTCCGGATCACTGAGTTGACAGAAACACATTATCTAGAGCCCTCGGTCTGGAATGAGGAACCTGGTCAGACTTAAGCATGTTATCTAAATTACAGTTTTTGTTTTGGGTCTCCGGAACACTGAGTCAACAGGGACACGTTTACTGGAGCCCTCTGACCTTGGGATAACTGTGCTGTCCTTCCCAGGTAAGGGAAAATGTGCTTTCTAAGACTAGTATGACCACAACAAATGGGATATTCACATTACAATCAAAAGGGTATTCAATTGAATGGGATGATTTATATAATTCAGAAAATCAAAATAACTTTTCTATTGTTAAAGCAAATAAGTACAGAAGCCAAACAGCGGGGTTAAAGTTAAACTATAGTTTCTACCTGAGATGATTGCTACCATACTTCAGTATCACTATTTTAGCTTATCTTCACTTATAGAAATGCCTTCCTTCTATTCCTGTAATTGTTCCCTTTCTCATAAATGCCCCCCTTCACCTCCTATTCCGAATGCTATTTGAATTACTGCCAGAATCAGTGCTTCCCGAATAGCTATTCTTTTGGATCTCAAATAAATGCTTGTTTCTCTCACTTTAGCCTTTTATTTTAGGTTAACTGGCTAGAGTCTAGCGGTTCTCAACCTGTGGGTCGAGACCCCTTTGGGGGTCGAACGACCCTTTCACAGGGGTCGCCTAAATACATCCTGCATATCAGATATTTACATTATGATTTATAACAGTAGCAAAATTACAGTTATGAAGTAGCAACGAAAATAATTTTATGGTTGGGGGTCACCACAACATGAGGAACTGTATTAAAGGGTCGCGGCATTAGGAAGGTTGAAAACCACTGGGCTAGACCAACTCAATAAATGACTTCATTCATCCCTCCAATTTCCATGCTGAACTTCAGTTGGGAATTTGGCCTATCGAGTCCTTGTTTTTGCAAAATGACTGTCTTTAAATGACTGTAGCCAGGCCAACTTTCTCACCTGAGCCACAAATTATTCTTTTTTCATAGGTAGAATCACCAAGTGTTTTTATAATTCAATTTATGTCTTTTACTTGCTGCAATTTATTCAACCTCTCTGTACCTCAATTTCTATGTATTAAATGAAGGGTTGTTAATGATCTACTGTTCAATTCCTAGGATTATGCACATTTAAGTAAGTTGAATTATATAGAACTGTATGTAGTATCTGGTGCATAGAAAGTACTCAATAATGCTACCCATTATTTTACCCAGTTCTGCATCTGATCATGCATGCACATACATTCACACTCAAATTCAGTGCCCTCCCCCACATCTGTATAAACAGTCCTACCCATCCTTCTAACCCCAAGTGAAACTGTAAGTATACCTCCCTCTCCTAAACCCCACCCCCAGTTCCCAGAGCTCTCTGCCTCCTCTGAACTTCTATAGCAGTTATTGCCTGCACTACTCATTCTATTCTGAATCACATACTGCCTTTCATTGTTCTCTCATTGTTAGTCCTGTCTCCCACACTCAGCTCTTTGACAGCAGGGAATGGTTCTTAATTTTTTCTAAACCCCCCACAGCACCTAGCAGATTGGTAAAGATAGTAGGTAGTAGACAAATACTAGGAGATTGTTGTCCCCATAGAGTTCAGTTCAAGCAATAATTGAACTGAAACACTGTCGAATTTTAGAATCTCAAAAAGCTTCACACAAATGTCCTGATCATTTTCTTGCTGGGACACAGGCCAGAGGCTTCTTGTCTCCAAACAGTAACAAGAGCAAATGAGCTTTGCTTTTTTAAGAGGAGCCTTGCAGAGCACATGAAAAGGAAACCTGGAATCCAGGCTCCGTTCAGAGAGACGTTGGGGAGAATCATCTCTCTCTGTTTCAGTGTATTCAGATAAAATGAAGGGGTTGGACTAGAATGGTTTCTAAGATACCTGCTGTCTCTAATATTCTATGATTCTAGGAACTCAGCCTTCCCACTTTTCATCCAAGTCATGTTTGAATCTTAAAGCAGA